TCATATATGTATATAATATGACAAGTTGGAAAAAAAAAAATAACAAAAAATGAAAAAGAAAATTTTAAAATATAATTATGCATAATTTATGAACATGTAGCTATAAGAACCTTACATACATACATACATACAAACTAAAATAATATGGAAATTCCATGAAATTTAATTTAGGGTTCTTTTTATGAATTTTTTTTTCCACTCATTATTATTATTATTATATTATTTGAAATTAATATTATTATGTATACATAAAAACTCAATTGTAATGAACTTACATATTTACATATACTTATATGAGAACAAATGATATTTTTATTTCATTGCACGAACAGAATCGAATCATAATATTAAAGGCAAATATAAATTAATTTATTAAAGTATATTATAGAGAATGACATAATTGCTATAAAATTGAATTTTGATTTAAAACGACATTAAAAGGTACGAAACATAGAGTTAAAGCTCAATATCAAAAAAAATGCAAAATTTTATGAAATTTTCTTTTAAATTATGAAAGAATAACGAATTTTACTGAAAGAATATTTAATATGGTATAGGCTTGAAATATGATTGAATTTCAAGGATAAAGAAAAGAAGTCTTTGTTATAACAGAATATGTTATTTGAGAAATTCTCAAGAAATTTGAAATTTCTAAAATTTAAATTACAAATTTAAGTAAAAGCTTCTATTGGCAACCAGAACTATACACTAAACTATTACATATTTCTAAGAAAATTATAATGACGCTATATTTGAGAATTAGTTAAGAATTATGACTAAAATAAGTTTACCTGATGTTATTTATCACAATAAAAGTTTGTTCTGATACAACTCTGAATTAATGGTCAAATATTTTATGCTATAAAACAATGCATTTTACAGACCCTAACACAAATGGTATAGAAGGATATTCTAATAAATAAAAAGTTAATTTTTATATGAAACCAATTTTGGACACTATATGAAATAATGAAATATGCTTCTCTCCTCATGTATGATTAAAAATAAAATTTTTTATTGGTCATCGAATTCTTTGCAAAAAAAAAATTTTAAAAATCATTTAAAATTTAAAATTTTTATAAAAAAAAATTTACACTTTACTATTCAAAGCGTTTAAATTTTATTAAAGTCTTAGTAGAGAAATTATTGAAATAATTGGTTTTTACATTTAAAAATGAAATTTAAACAGAAAATTCTACGAAATCATTTTCAAATGCCTATGGTAAAAGTAATTATATCACTTTATCAAAATATTTATTTCAAAAAGTAAAATCCAACCTCCAATTTCAAGTTTAATATATTCGGCCATGAGTAAGAGAAATTTTAATAAATTATGTTTTTGATTCAATTCACAAAAGTTGCTATTTTTTCACTTTTAAGTGACAATTTCCAAATTCTCATTCTTTCAAAATTTTTCACACTAATTTTCAAAATAACTAAGACTTAATATTAAAAATGCCTCACTTAATCCCGTAAAACTAAATGAAAGTAAATTGTAAAACTTTGAAAATTACAATTGCATTTACTGAGAGAGCAAAGCAATTATAGTTATAAAATATTTTTTTGCTACAAATTGCGAGTGGTCGAAAAACTAAAGTATCACTAATAGAGATTTCGAAACCTTGTTCATTTTATCCAGATTCAACTGTTTATAATTATTATAGTTATTTAATTTTATAACACTTTTAATCATATAGCATTTGATACCCGCACATTGACATTGACATACATAACATATATCGAATTAACAATTGATTTGCAATTAAATAATTATACTTATAAATTACATATAGTTCATAGTATACTCGGAACATTAGTTCATAGTATCAACAGTTTAATGTTACTTCCATTAAATAAAACTTCAAAAATCAATGAAAATCCGAAATCATAATAAATGGAATTTTGTAAAAAAAAAAACAAAAAGAAGCGGACAATTAGGTAACTAATTGAACAATCAATTGGAATTTATGTCAAACAAAATATTTCCATTGAATAAATCTGGATTGGATAAAAAAATTTATTTCATATACGATATTGTAATACATACTCTTAATTTTAAATACTGTGGATATTTGCCTGAAATTTTTAAAATTATTTTAATAATTAAAGTAAATGATAAAAATTCATAAATTTCTTTAAATAATTTATAGTAAAATTTAAAAAAAAGACCATTTCACATAAAAATTAAGCAATTTTGCTGCCCACCCATCCCCCTATTTGAAATTCTAATCTATAAATTGAAAAAAATGAACAAATCATTTAATTTTTAAATATTGTTAAAATTGGGATTTATTGTTACCATATAGACAATAAAATATAATAATAATAATATTAAAAATAGACCTAAACACATATTATCCTTTCCAATCCTTATACTCGCCTCTTTGTTTTCAGAATTATTTGTATTTTTGTATGCTGTTCTAATGCTTAAGGTATAATACATATAAGCAGATCATATATACTATTGTAAAGTAATCAAATAATATTGGTTTTTTGTTTTTTTAAAGGATATCAAAGAAAATAGGAAAAGAAATCTATATACTCTCGCCTTATCCTTACAAAAACAAAAAACCAATAGAACAATAAAATAATACAAATCAATACATTCTTATACTGCATTTGTATATAATATTTATATATTATATAGACTGCCTACATTGGGTATTTGTACATTTCCCAGAAATGAAAACAAAAAAAAAATGTTTTTGTTGTGGTCCCAACAAATTCCCAAAGTAATTTCTGAAATCTCAAACCAAATTAGTTAAAATAATTCAACCAATTTTAATTTAAAATTGTTTCATTTATAATACGATTTACAAATACGATATATATATATATATATAAACACATACATTTTTATATAGATTATAACGTAAAATACCTTAAAATATATTTATTTAAAAAACAAGCAAAAAAAACTCATCACAAATTATATTTAAATCAATTCCAATTTCAAAAGCCCAATAATTGCTCTCTAAAAATACAAAATTCAAATATATATATATATATATACATAATATGAATATATATATATACAAATGTATATATATAGAGTTAAAAACCGCAAAAACCAAAAAACTAATTTTATATCCTGAATGATCCTTTAAAAAATATTTTTTTCCTATGTACATACAACATGTTATAATAATATAATTATGTATATATATATAAGCATATATAACATAAACAGGTATATAATATGAATACATACATAATTATAAAAATAATAAAAAATAAAATTATTATTATTTCAAGGTATTTAAAAAAAAAAAACAAGAAAACAAAAAAAGAAACAAAAATATAATATAAAAGAATAATTGGAATAAATACACTCACACACACACCCACATTCACACACAAATTTATTTATTTGTATATTAAATACACATAATATAATAATATGAGTGTTAACCCTTAACATGTTATTATCCTTAATCCCTAATGTAATCATCAATTTTAGTAATTATTAAACAATCATTATAACATTGAAGGATCTCCTCTTTTAAATAAAAAATTCAAAAAAAAAAAAAAAAAATTAAAATTAACAAAATCTTTTATATACATTTATTAACATTCTAATTCAATCCCTACAGCGTATATTTATTATGTGTGTATAGGCAACCCACCCAATTCACAGTCTTTTGCAAAATATTTTGTATCCTTTCCTTTACAATACTCTATCTATATATAAATTTTTGTATTATGTATAGAATTATCCTTTTTTTTTTTTGTTATTCTTGTTGTTTTTGTTTCAAATCATCTCTTATATATTATTATAACCTTCATATAATATGTATGTATATATGAATTTGAAAAGTAAACAGATTTATTGGATTGAGTGGTGAAAACAAATTTTCAGTCCAATGAGTTTTTTAATATGGAGTGTTGTACCGGACATGTTCCTTTTTTGTTTTCTTCTTCTCTCTTGCTGTTTGTTCTTTTTGTTTTTTGATGTACGTTCTTTTTTTTTTTTGTAATTTAACCCTCTTTTGTTTACACCTACATATACGTTAGAATAACAAGTATGTAATTACATTCATATCATTGTACATTATATAATAGGTTACTCATTATTATGGGTATCAGAGTAAAGAGCTAAAAAAGTAGTAGAAAAGGAAATAATAAAATAAGAAACAAAACTGTGTAGGAAAATCTTGTATTTTATTGTTGTTTTTTTTTTGAAGGGACTAATGATTATTAAGGCTAGAATTTAGGCTAGGGTAAATTCAAAAATTTGTACATTCGTTTATAATAGTATTTTAAAACGAGAGTTATAATATTAAATTTTTGTTCTTATTTTATTATTTTTAGGGTCTACTTTGATAATTTAATTTAAGATTAATATGAATGCCTAATTAATATGGGTATTAAGTTATTTAGGAAAGGATTAATGTTAGTATTAAATAAATGTGACGTGATATTTTTTTTAATTGAATTGTGTTATTTAGTTGTAATATTACTGTGAAGAAGAATATTAAATAAGGTCTAATTAATAATATACTATTATATAGTAGTGGACTTAGATTTTACAGTATAAAATAGAATATTCTTGACATGATTTATAAACGAATCAAAAGACATGTGATCGGAATATTTGAATAATTTATATGACAACGTTCAATATATTCTGTGAAGAATCAGTTTAAAAATGTTGTTTAAGATTGTTGATTTCCGGGGTTAATTTAAATAATTCAGTCCACATTCAGTTCCAATTTCTGCCTGACAATATCACAGTAGACATAAACTTCAAAAGCATTCTGCAGTTTAAATAACATTTCGCAGGTTCAATTTTATCATTTCAGTCTTACAATTTTATAAGCTATTCTGAAAAATTTTGCACAATTCTGTCTCAATCATACGTAATATTTAACACTTCCCTTCGTTTTTTTTCTCAAAGTTCAACATATTTTCTCTTAAATTTTTTAAAAAATTGTATCTTTACGTAATAATATTCATAACCTAATTTTTTATTTAATCATTTTTCTTATTATATATTACAGATAAAACAATAAAACAACAAAAAGGACGAACTGTTGTTTTAGAATGTCCAATCGATGGTGAAGCATGCGGTGATTTACATTCATTGAATTGGTTCAAGGGTGATACAAGAATTGCTGTTATATTAGGTGGTGTTAATGTATCCAGTGTTATACCAGAGTATAGTGAAAGGTAAATATATAAAAAATTATACAAAAACTGAAAAAAAAATGTTATGAATAAAATATGAATGTAATTGTGTATGTATATTATTGGTGTGGGGCATGAATTTTATTTATTTTTAGTTTATTTGTTATAAAAAATGCATGCATTCAAATTAGGAAAATCGATTAGAAATCGCATATATATGCAATTTTCTAAAAATTTTTTTCCACTTTTTTGTTTTATCAATTTAATAAAATCGTTCGTATTAAAAAAAATTAATAGTTTTAGATTATTTATGTTTTTTTTAGTTTGTTAGTCAATTTCAATAGCACCAATGCACCAATGTCAAACTAAATAAGGAAATTTCAACTTCTCTCCTAAAAATGTAAATAACAATGCCTGTTGCTATTTCCTAACGATTCTAGTCTAAATCTCCACAAGTCTTTGATGCTCGCCACCCTAATTTTTGGAGAATTTTGTAAGACAAAATGTTTAAATGGCAGTTTACAGCTTTTTTCTCTTACAATTCTGCTCTTTTGTATTACAAAAATAAAATTTCTTTTCATTTAATACGAATTACAATTCATGGCTGAAGCACAGATCTTGAGAAAAAAAAATAAAAAGAAAAAAGGAAATAAAATTATTTAAAACGCTTTCCAGATGTAAGAATGAGATTCGTATGGAATGCTGCATGAAATACAGAAAATGAATAAATTTTTGCGCTAAAAGAAGCTTTTGGAAATGTCCGTTAGAGGTCTACTTAATTCCATTAAGAATATTGCCCTATTATGGTTCTTGTTGATCGTAGATGCGAGTTGCTGCAAATTTATAATTCTAGTTGAACGTTTTCTGAGGTTGTTGCCAATCATTTTTTTATTAGCATAGTGTCATGTGACCCCCTTTTACCATTGCTACTACTGCATTAAAACAAACGTGAACATTTTATTTTAATTTCTAATTTAAAAATTGAAAAATAAAAAAAAAAATAGACCAACAATTTATCATTTTACCATGATTTAATGTTTACTTTCCACAATTTGGGAATTTCACCTACAGGTTTTTAATTTACATCCAAAAACATATACAAACTTATTCATTGCACTAAGTATAAAAAAAAATAATGCACATACAAGCATTTTTATGCAATTTTTGCTTTGTTTTTGATTTTTTTTATTTTGAAAAACTAGAAATTTTAAAATAATGACGTTAAAGTTATATTTGACAAAGGATAGAATAACAAAAAAAAATTTTTCCTAAATTTTTAAATAACCTGAAGGAACAAAATAAAAATTTTCTTTTCTACTTTTAAAATTATTATGAATTTTGTACACAAAACTTACTTAAAAAAAAAAAATTATATTACATTTTAAATAATTTTTAGTGCTTTTTCAACAGAATTGGAAAAGGAAGTGCTTATTAATCTCAATTTGTCCGTGAATGCGTCGGTTTTTCAAAACTTCAATACCCTTTAAGATAGAAAATTGAAATTTTATTTATAAATCGATCTTTAGTAGAAACTTATCCAGAAGAACATTTTTACTTATTTTGCCGCCCTACTGCTGGAAGTATTCCGTTTCCAAAATAACGAAATTCTTCCTCCACACTCACCTTCTATAAGTTATTGTTTTTAAAATTGAGGAAACTACAAAATTTCCCAATCTTATATTTTCCCAATTTCCTAATATCTTTTCATTTAAAAATATATTAATTATTCTTAGATACCAGTTTTGGTCGCTATTTTTTATCAGAAAAATTACAAAATTAGCAATATTTCCGCCTCCATATTGAACACATATTTATTCTGTAGTGGTTTACAACTACAACAACAAATGTTAAGAATGCAGTGCAATAAAACATGGCAGAAAATGTAATTTTTTCGCACTATCCCGATTTCGACCAGTTTTTATCACCAGGAGAACACAAAACTATGGCAAATGTAGTAATATTTTTTTTTTGAGTAACATTTTATATAATTAAATTCCGAATTTAACAATTGTATTGTTAATGTTTCTTGCAAATTTTTGCACTTATCCAAGAAATATGCAAAATTTTATGAAATTAATGAGAAAAAATTTGGGAATAAGATTTGTTTTTTTTGCAATTCCAGCATTTTCACTTGCTTGTTGGAAAAGTGCTACCTTACAAAATCTTGATTCAATCTGTATTTTATTTGTATGTGTACTTATACATATTATGTACATAGGTATATATAATTTTTTTTGTTTTTTGCTAAAAATGCAATTAAAAAATAAATAATAAATCTAAAAATATATACTAAATAATAAAATGAATAGATTCTAATCGATATGAAACAACAATTTTATATATGAAATGCAAATAAAATACCTACACAGAAAAAAAAAAATTGTATACTAATATAAATGGGTTCAGGTCATGGCAATAAATATTCAAAATTTTAAAAAATTAAAACTTTAAATGCATTTGAAAATAAAATTCTGATATGTAAATTTAATTTTAACGCAAACAAATGACGGAGAAAAAAAAAATAAATATTTTTTGCTTTTTATATTTAAATAAGCATTATTGCATTTTCCACAAAATACAAAAAATTTTTATCTTTATATTCTGATCATTTATTTATGGAAAAATCAAATTTACTATTTTCTCAAAAAAAAAAAAAATTTTTTTAATATAAACAACGCTAAGTAAATATTTAAAATATTGTAATTGATAATAAAACTAAAATAATATGTAATTATGTAAACACATTTAAATTTATAATGTGATAAGGACATTGTACATGGACAAATTAAATATTTAATAGTTCTAAATAGCAAATTAGTAATTTGTTTAATAAAATTATGTTCGACATATGCATAAATAATTTATCTGTAATCTTGAAAAATATTAAAATTCTTAAATTATATTCTCAACTCATGTTATCATATTGCCATAAGAATAACAATAATTTCTGTTAAAAAATCATTTCCATACAGCCCAAAAATATGAAATCGAATTTCCATGTCTGTATTTCATTTCATGTCAAGCAAAAATTATGTTGCTTAACCCTTTGGGGCACGCTGGTATTAATAATGTCCCATCTTTTTGATGCGTAAAAACGCATGGTGGGACATTTTTCGACCCATCTGGATATATTGGAATAGTTGCGAGCTCATACATTTTTTTCAGAACTTTATTATTTCTGAACTTTAGTAATTGGCAACACCATGGTATTTTTATTTTCAAAAATTCCGTACCTCAAAGGGTTAACGATATGCAAAAATTTAGTTCTTAAATTGTGTTATCGGATTGATGCTTCATATTGATTTTCAAATAAAGTATTTAAAATTCTAATTTTTTTAAATCGTAACAAGATGATTGAAGTTGAAAAATTAATACTTAAATTTGCTTAAAAATAAATACGATATTCTGTTATTTTTAACTCTTTCGCTCATTTATGTAAAATGAGTACTGTGAGTGAACAAAAATGATTTCCTCCTATCAGCACACCATTTCTCATATTTATATTTTACGAATATTTTTTCATCAATTCTATTTGTTGTTGGTTTTGCAAAATGCGATTCTCCCGTTTACTTCATTCATACAAAAAAGAGATCTATATATTATAATACTCCCTGGGTATTTGTTGCTTGCTGTTTTTATACCCTGTTCATACTTTTCTTCAATATAGCTTTCACTGAATTGATTTAATGAGGAAAATCTTATGTTGTAATATCAAATTCTTTTCTCATGATTTAACTAATTTACATTTGAACCAATAGAATTTTAAATCACATTTTGATTATTATACATTGTATGAGATATTGAATTTATTTTGGAAACTGCACTACAAGTAATTCATAATATAAATAAGAAAATACCAGAAAAATACCGAATGCAATATTGTTAATTTTTGATACCGAATTAATATTGTTCAAAACTGTATCATATAGGTATCAAGGAATCGAAAATTTCGAAATAGTTGTACAGTTTTCATTCAATTTATTTAAAAAAAAAGATTTCTTATTTGAAAATTAAGCACATCCTGATTGAAGATTGAAGTTTAAAGCAGAAAATTTTCCACAAATTTTATCTCAAATCCAATTTGAAGTTAAAATTTTGATCAATTAAAATTAATACTGATTAATTAAATTTGCGCAATAATATTATCAATTATAATATTCAAACCTTCTATATAAAAGGCTTAGGCTATATTCAACTTCTCATAGGAACTTTATACTTTAATACTCGCTCTCCGCTTTGATTTCTCTCAATTTTCCAAAATGTCAAAAAAATTATAAACACTTTCTTTTCCAAATTTTTCTTTAAACAAATCACAAAACGTTTCATAAACTCATAGAAACAAAAATTAAAAATTTCAAAATTTCTTTGTCGAATAAAGTAATAAAAAAATGTCCTTTTAAATTCCTTTTCCCAAAAAAAACAAAACTATTCTTTGAAAAATTTCTCTATTTTTTTTTTCTCCTTAATTTTCAATATTCTTCTTATATACTCGTTTCAAACTAAATTAACACTTTAATTGAATAATTTTATAATTACAAAAAGAAAAAAAAATAAAAGAACAGAGAAAGAGAGAAGAAAAAAAAATTTCCTTTTAAATGAGAACGGAGAAATTTCATTCAAAAGTTGAACTTTAAAAATTAAAATTCTTTTTACCTTTATTTTTTTTTTACTTTATTTCTCTTGCATACACAGAACCTATACAGGACACAAAGTTTTTCTTAATAACACAAAATTTACAGTAGCAAATAAACGAATCAAAAACAAAAAAAAATAAGAAAATAAAATGAAAAAAAACAAAAAGTCATACTCAATTTTCCAATTTCTAATCGACTGGATTTTTTTGAATTAGAATTTTTTCTTTTAAAAAACAAAGAGAGCAAAAACTATAAACTGAATATAGAACAACAAGAAAAAAAAGAAAAAAACAATAAAACAAACAAGAAAAATTTTCATTTTCTTTTTCTAAAATTTTTAATATAAACTTTACAAAGTCCTTTTTTTCTTGTATTTTTAAGTATTTTGTTTATTTTTCTCTCCTTAGTTTCAGGATTTTACTTTTTTTTTGGAAAATTTCTAAATTGTTTGTTAAACTATATTGAGTACAACTAGTATTCTTTTAATAATGTGTGTATGTGTGTATTTTATTTAAGAAAAAAAAATTTACATAAAGAAAGAGAAACAAAGAGAAAAGAAAAAAAACTTAATAACTTGTTTATTTTTTTTTTCTCTTTTTTTTTACTTCATTTGTTTCATCTATTGTAGAGTAAAACTTGAAGAATCACCATATCGCCTTACATTGAATGATCTTCGTATTAGTGATGAGGATGTTTATATATGTGATACAACATTTTATATACCACAAGAATCTTGTGATGCGACAAGAGGATATCGCACTGAAGTCATTGTTTTAGGTAAGAAAAAAAATTTATAATTTTCAAAAATTGTTTTTTTTTTTTCCTTAAATATAAAATAACCTTAAAAAAAATATGTTTTTTTTTTATTATTTTAAAATTAAAATTAAAATAATTAAAAAAAATAATAATAGAGCTTTATAGAAACCACCATGTTATAATATTCCTCTATATGAAATTAATCCTATATATGTATGAAAAGATGAAGAAGAAGAAGAAGAAAACAACATTAAAAACTAATCCTAAATTTTTAATTTTTCTTCTTTCACAATATTACCTAACCAATTTTAAATAAATAACAAATATAACAATGGAGAAAAAAAACCGCTATTGTTTCCGATATTTAAGAAAGAAAAAAAAGGATTTTTTGTTTTTTATAATAACCCAGTTTTGTTTTGTTTTTTAAAATTTAATGTTTTTGTTATAAAAGCATAATATGCAATTTAAATTTATTCCTTGTATATTGTTTTCCATTCTTGTTCCATGTTCAAACAAAAAATACCATTAATCTGAAAAATCAAAACAAAAAAAAAAAAACCTAAAAAATTTTTATGTACCAAAAAAATTAGAGTAACAATTTTTTTCCTCTTTTTAATTTTAAAGAAAATTTTTGTAAACAAGAAGATTTTTTTATATAATTTTTTTTTGCTTTCGTCCTGTATTTCATTTCATTTAAGATTTAAACGAGTAATTTAATGGAAATTTTGTTAACTAAATGCTCAGTGTATGAATTAAAAAAAGAGGACTTCCTATTTTTAATAATAAATTGCATAAAAAGAAAATTTAATAAAAAGAAAATTTAGTAAATAATTTGTAAGAAAATATTCAAGAATAATGAAAAATTAATCGTTCTTTATTAAAAAAAAAATACGGCAGGCTAGTCACCTACCTAATTAAAACTGCATAACACAATGATACTGGAGCAATATTTACAATATAGCCATATGCTTCTCCAAGTAGTGAAGAAGAAAAAAAAAACGAAATCTTTGTTTACAAGCGACCAAAATTTTAGATACAAAAAAAAATTTCCTTTGAAAATTTTTTAATTTGCATTTGTATACAAAACAGATTTCCTTGTTTTCTAAACCAAATTGTTAATACCAAATAAAAGGGTAAATACTGTGCAGCTTCACAATTAATTTAATTAAATTTTAGAGAATATTGAGATTACGAATAAAAAGAAATTGTCAACTTTACTTTCTTTAATTAAAAAATATTATACTTTGGATTATAACATCCTATATTGCAAACAAATACGGGCATTACAATTCAACTTCCAATATTCAAAAGTATAAAAAATAAATAAATTATTAAGATTAAGATAGCAGCTTGGAAAAATGTAAACTATTTACCCAAGGAAAAAATCTATTAGAATCGCAAAGATTAAGAATTGGGTACAGAAATCTTATTCATAAATAAATTTTTGAAAAGGCTCCTCATTTTTAATAAATGCAATGAATATCTTGAGCATCAGAAGAATATTCAAAATACACCAGTATTGAAATTTTGTAATATGAAGATAGAATACATTAGTCACAATATTCCTCAGTAAAATTAGCCTTTTTTTCATTTCTTGCATAATTTTATTAAATTTAATGAAATTTATTGTATTCCTTTAATAAAAATTTAAATTTTTATTAGAGCCTGACAAAAGCTTAAAGGGCTATAAAGACCATTTTCTATAAGCTTTTCCTATGTTAAAAGAAAAATTACCAATAAATATCTTTTTGAAGGAAAATTTTCCATTATTTTTGATTCTAATGTTGTGAAATTCAATTTACATTTTTCTATTATTTTGCATGAATAATTAGTAAGAGATATCGGACGTAAATTTTTCAAATCTCCTGAATTTGCACCATAGAAACTATGTTTGAAACAAAATTTATTTAAAAATTTTTCAATTAAATTTTTCATTTTGAATATTAATAAAATTCTTAGTTAATCAAAAAGCAATTTATGTTTGCAAAAATAGGAAGTTGTATTAGAAAAAATTTCAAAAATAGAAGAAACTTCTCCATTAAATAAAGCAACCAAATTCAGATGCCTGATGAAAGAAAATTATGATTTTAATTTGAAAATTTTCATTGCAATTAAAATGGTTTCCTTTTTTTTTACAATATTTTAACTAACTTCATAATAATCTACAACTTTACTATATAATAAGCATACCCAACTCATATGGTATTTTTTCTCCAAATATTTTTGATTAACATCCTTTCCCTTTCTCTCATATCCTTAACTAACAATAATAATAATAATTGTGTGTTTTCATATAAAGCATTTTGTTATTTTTTTTTCACATCATTTACTTTTTACTAAAAAAAATCTCAAGTTTAATTTTCTTTATTTTCTAAAAAATCAAAATAAAAAAAACAAACTAAAAATAAAAAAAAAAAACTCGAAAATATCAAAAATAAAAAAAAATTAAAAAAAAAAAAACTAAAAATCTAAAAAAAATCATGCAGAACATCCGCCCCCAGGTAAAAGCAACAACAAAAAAAAATTTTTTTAAAAATTATTTTAATTCTCATTTCTCTGCTACTTACCTTTTTTTTTTTAATTTACTTTTTTTTTAACTAAAAAACAAAATTTTTTTTTGCTAATAAATTTTTTTTTTTGTGAATTTGTCTTGTTGCTTTTGTGCTTTTAAATAAAGATATTTTAAAAAATTAATTTAATTTTAGCTTTTGCATTCTAAATTTCGTAAAATTAAAAACAGAACATGAGCTGTTCCATACTCTAACTCTTAATCAGTTGTACATTGACAATGCATTACGTTAAGTTTTAGGCATGATGTTGTTAACGGTAACAAATTGTATGGAAATGACATTGAAAGATATTAAATTTCAATGAATTTCTTATGTAAACTGTTATACTGTTATACAGTTTCTTTTTAAATTTTATTTAAACTTTCTTTCAAAAGAATATTTTAAATCACGCCGTTTTAAATTGTTAAAACTAAAGTTGGACATATTCGACACTTATACATCATTTTTAATATATCTAATTCGGTTCCAAACTTATATTTTGTGTGAATTCCATTTCAAACTTGTACTTTTTGTTGATCCCATTTGAAACATGTATATTGTACGGATTCCATATCAAATTCGTATTTTGTGTGGATTCCATTTCAAATTTGTATTTCATGTGGATATTTTGTGTGGATTCCATTTCAAATTTGTATTTTGTGTGGATTCCATTCTAAACTTGTATTCAGTGTGGATCCCATTTAAAATTTGTATTTCATGTGGATATTTTGTGTGGATTCCATTTCAAATTTGTATTTTGTGTGGATTCCATTCTAAACTTGTATTCAGTGTGGATCCCACTTCACATTTGTATTTCGTGTGAATATTTTGTGTGGATTTCATTTGAAATTTGTATTTTATGTGGATTCCATTTCAAACCTGTATTTTATATGGATTCCATTTCAAATAAAAGAACAACACCTTTTCATAATTAATAATAAACTGATGTTATATTTGATAAATTCAAGTATTAAAATAATTTAATTACCTATACTTGGAAAAATGCAACATTGTCCACATCATTCCATTCCATTTTCCTTTAAAATTTTGAATAATTAAAATAATAAACCATAATACATGATTTGTTTTACATCTTCTAATATTAAAATTCATGAATTCATTCACATTCCTACATTACTTGTCTCTAAAAGAATAAATTCTAAATGAAAATTATTATAATCCTCATCTTAATACACTCAATTAATTTTAATGAGCCTAAACTCAAAAATTATTTATTAGCACCTATATATAAGGTAAAAAAAAATTTTCTTAAAATCAAAAATTTCGTTTTTAAATCAACAATTTTTTTAATATAATTTTTGGAAAATAATCAATTATCTGCTGGATAAAATTTTATACATTTTTAATTAAAAGACATGAAAAATCAAAGAACTTTTCAAATGAAATAACTACAATATTGGACTTTTAACATTTTAAGAAGTAGGTTTCCTTTAATTCTAATAATATCAAAGGAAAATATTTCGAAAAATCTCTAAAAAAAATCTTTAAAAATCTCTTTAAAATTTTCAATAATGTTGAAGTGCATAAAGGCATTTACAAACTAAGTACACAAATACATGTACATAAAGTAATCAAATTGAAATTTTTTTTGTGCTGCATTGTCAAATTGAATTTATTATGGAAAAAAATGTTTTGTTTTTTGTTTTTTTTTGAATTTTTTTTTTTTGGTATAGAGATATTCATTTTAATTACTTAAAAATTAAGAGTAAAATCATTTTGAATACTTAAAATACATCATATGAATAGACTAGAAAATTACTATATACAGTTTTTTTTTTACTACATCTACACAAATTCCAAAATAATATGCTTATATATATTTAAAGACCTATATGCAATATAATATAAGAACATGTCATGAATGTTGCTCTTTAGCATATTTCTGTAAAATTTTGAAAAAAAATCCTCTTAGTTTCATTCAGCCTGCCTGGTTTTTTATATATTTATAAGATGGCAATACAAGTCCTTGTCGCTAAACCGAAAGGTATTACCGAAAATCGTAAGGCTAATATCAGTATATGATTATGGCACTTTAATTTAGTCGTAATTCCAAACAAATTTCTTTTAAATAAAATTTTTCATGTCAACTTCTTCATAAATAACATCTACCAGAGACATCCGAAATATTAAATTAAGAATTTTAAAACAAAACTCTTTGGTTCGATTACCTGCAAAACTTCTGTAACAGTAACATTATGAGGGAGTCTGTTCAAAAGACACTCACTAGTTAGTAGCATTAACCTGGCCCAGATACAGGATGTATAAATAAATTTGCTTAATTAGTCGGTCAATTCAACCATATTATAAGGTTGTTACATTAAGATACTATAGAATACGGTATTATGCAACAAGACTAAAAAATATTAATTAATTTTTAACAACTCCAGTAATTATATTTTCATACCGCATTGCATACAATAAGGGTGTTTTTTGCGAGCTAATTTTACATTTTTCCGCTTATAAAGACTCAATGAATTTTCTTGAAATTTAATGTTGGAATTCGAGGGTGTTATAGCAATTAACCTATAAATTTTTTGGAAAGATTAGAGCTCGGAAACCGAACTTGGGTCGATTAAAAATTTTTCTACCACATCCACAGAACTAATTGATACAATCATTTGAAATTTAATATTTGGATTCTGGTCATTATTGAAACTAATTGTCGAAGTTTTCAGAGAATTCGGATGGTAAAAAGCAAAACTCTATTAAGAGCCAAATTTACATTTTTATTGGTCTATTAACTAAAATCTTACTAGAGTCTCTAAAATTGTAACACTTCCTGTAATACTTTCACTAGACTAAACAATAACCGTTGCGTTTGGTGATGTGCTCACCACATCTGATTTTTTTCAAGTGAAATGTGCTGTTCTATCAACCCATAGTTTAAAATGAATTTATATTTTTTGTCAAAAATATTATTTAAGTATTCATAATGTATGTGCATAATTTTGAAATTTATAAATTATTAATTTGAATATCTTGTATGAAAAAATATGAAAAATGCTTTTTTCTTCCACATTTGGCTTAAAATTTTTTATACTCTAAAATATACATATAAATATACACATAATATAGCTTTGCATTTTTTTTTAATAAAAAAACTAAAATTCTATATTTTGTCAAATTTTTTTAATATAACTTTTGTTTCAATTTTAAATAAAAATATAAAAAAAAAATTACTTTTTTTTTTTCATTACTATTTTTAATAATTTTTTGTATCGTGTAATCTTGTGTGCAATTTTATAATATACTAAACTATTAATATACATATATAATATACATATATATAAAGTAGATAAAAAAAAAAGTGAAATTGAATAAATTTTTGTAATATTTTTATATTTTTGAATAAATAATATAATTTTTATTAAAAAAAACTAAAATTGCAAATATAAAAAGTGAAAATCTATTCAAATACACCAAAAAACGTAACAAAAACAATTTTTATATTTTGATTATTATACAAACATACTCACATGTTATATAAGAATTATACTGGAATTTTGTATATAGGTACACATATAGCGAGATATATGCAAATTTATCTTTCATAATTTTATTATCCTTACAACTATTTAAGAACCCAAATTCAATTGTAACTCTTATGAAAAACCTAATATTATTTTATGAGAGAATTTTAAAATGTAAAATTTAATTTTTTCACAACATTTCTATTGTAAAATTTTCTTATTATTAAAAATGAAATTTTAAGTTAATCTACCATCATTAAATTAAAATTTCGATATTTTTTAATTAAAAAATTTTTGTTAATTCTTAGTTAAAGGCACTAGCTCTATACCTAACATAAATGCTTTAATAATTTAAAAAAAAAAATTGGAAGGGTTCTTTATATGTATAATAATATAAGGATTTGTAAAATTTAATTATGGTTGCTTATTATAAACGATATAAAATATAAAATTATTTTGTTATACGGAAAAATATAAAAAAATTAGATAAGAGTTTTCATTATTAATGTTCTGTTATCATTAATGTTCTGATTCTTGGAGCAACAGGAATTTTACAAATTTTTTGATTAATTATTATTAGAAAGATGATTGGAGTAATAGGGCCCTGATTTACATTATAAAAACGAAAAATGTATGCTATTCAAAAGTATAATTGGAGTTCTAATTAATTTTATTATTAGAGAGTTGCATAATTTTTGTTGATAATTGAAAAATTGAATTTTTTAAATTATTTCTAGTAAATTTTAGATAAACGATCGTCACAAACTCTAAATTAAATGAATTATGAAAAATAAATTCATATAAAATAGAAATACTAATAGAGCAATGAATATTAATTTAATATTTAAGAAATTAATTTTCATGGTTTATAATACATATAACTATTATTCGTATAACATTAATTAATTAGTAGAATAACATTAAATTTATTAAAATAGATCAGAACTCTTTTAGAATATTTTTCAACAACAACTTTCATTAGATTCCAATTTTCCCAATTTTTTTCAATATAATCATTTTATTTATTTTGTTGACCGAAATTTTATTTTATAGGAAAAGAACTTGACTAATTTTAAATTAAGCGCCTGTTTTGAATTTCTAATGAATAACAATAAATTAGGCTAAAAAATTAACGTGTTGGTCTAAAATTTTTAAAACAAAATTAATTTTTTTTTACCAAATTTCTAATTAGCTCTTTTGAATTATAATTGAAAATTTCAATGCTATTACAGAGCTATAAAATCTTTTAAGAAGAAAAAGAGTTACTAAAATCTTTTTTATATTTTAAAAAAACTTGAAAATTAAAAACGTGATTATTTTTTTTTTAGAGCATTCCACATTATTCATTTTATCAATTTATAAAAACAAAACAAAAGCAAAAACATTCTTAACACACAATAAATCCAAAAATTTTCAACTTACTTCATATTTTCAACACACATTAAGTGTACCCACCTTAATATTGCAAATACAACAACATATTGCAATTAATTTGTAATTGTATGAGTAAACACATAAAATTTTTGCCTCTCTTGATTTTGTTTTTCTTCTCTCAATTTTTTTTTTTTGTGCATTTTACGATTTTTCAATTTTTTCTGTAGTTACGAATGAGTGCTGATTTTATTAATTTTTTTTTTTTATAGATTTTCTCCAGTTTTACAATTTTTCTTTTTTGGCCCGTGTATAAAAATAATTTTCGAATTTTTTTCTCCGATTTCATAAAAATTAAGAATGGCTTATTTTATTTTTTTGTTTTTCATTTGTTTTTGCATAAATCTTAATCATCTTATTGTTAAAAAAAAAATTATTACTATAAAATATTTATTACGTATTTGTTAATTGCAATTTTAATATTATTAAATTATTTTTAATATTATTGTAATAATTTTATTTAATTTCAATTTAATCATTGTATTTTATGAAATTTTAATAAATTTTTTCTTAAACAAAAAATTTACAGTACCACCATCAGATATATTAGTGTTAGATGAAAAAAATGATAAAATAACAAATGGATCAATAATTGGTCCTGTAGAGGAAGGCAAAACATTAACAGCAATATGTAAAGTAGAGAAAACAAGACCGCAACCATCAATGGCATGGTATAGAGGCAATAAAAGGCTTACAACACGTAAGTAAAAAAAAATGTTTATTTTAAGTTTTTTAATTATTTTTTTTTATAAGTTAATTTTGAAATTATATTCTTAATAAATAATTTTAAATATCCTTAAAGGATAAAAATATATTGAATAGCTATGTATGTTGTGTAGCGTATAATACAATTTTATTTATGTACCATATGGTGTACATGAAATAAATTTGAAATTTGAAGTAAATAATTAAAATTTGAAATTTGAAGATGAAATATTAAAATTGGAATTTATACAGCCGATTTTGACCCTTGAGTTTCATATTGAAATTAAAATGTTCTAATAAGTGGTCAATTATTTATGCTAGATGAGTTTCATAGGCATTTCATCATTATAATGAGAAGTATTGAAAACAATAATTGTAGATTATGTCGGTTTTTATAATATAAAAAATCGCTAGACATTTTTATTGATTGCAAAAAAAAATACTCGTTAAAATTAAAGATTATAAACGCTTCTTAGTTGTTGTGAACTTCTTGAAGAGGTGAAGTAAGTACGGTAATTGTGGCCTAGTCAGGTAATATTATAGCTGAGCAACTATGAATAACCGGAAATCAGTATTACTGTAGCTGAACTATGGTCCATCTTTAACTCATAACTAATATACAAGATTTAAATTTTGCATTTTTAATGGTAATAAAATAATCTGTGAGTGTAGCTCTTGTCAGGGTTAAAACAATTTAAAATAATAAGGGAAAACTGCAAAAACAAAATAAATGGTTCAAGATTACCGCACTTACTCTACGGGTGATTGATATTATTTTCAAGACTCGCTGATCCGCCCATTTTGTTAACTATAAAACGGAGACCGGAGTTTAACGGAGAAATTGAGTTTTATTGCTTATTTGATTTCATGTAATGATCCGATTTATTTAATTTTAATCAACGACTTTCATAATTGAACATAAATTTTGTATTGAATTTAATAATTGAATACAAAATGTTGGGTAGCGTTACTCTTAATTACACCCTAAATCTTTATATCCAAATTATTATCATTTCGAAATTATAAAATATTCAAAATATTATAAACATTATTTAAATGACTGTTACTGAACTTAATTATATCCAAAAAAATTTATGCAAAACAATATTTAACTAAATTTGTCGACACAATACATACGTATAACAGTTAATTAATTTACACTACATTAAAAACTCATTTATCCTCTATAACAAATTAAATTAATATTCACCTGATTAACTATTTATTATGAATTCATGAGAAAAATTAATCATTAACAGAAAAATTATTTAATTAGGTTGGTATTTTTTTTTTTGCTTTTAATAAAAAATTCACAATTTTTAAGTAATTATATATAGGTGCGGCATCAAATACACACAAATTCTATTATTTTGTATATAAATTCCACAGCGATTCTTTATTTTAATTAAATTGAATTTATTTTTTTTTCACTTTTAATGTCTTTTTCCACTCTTCAAAAACAGAAAATTAATTAGAATCAAGGAAAAATTTTAAAAATTTCTGAAATTGAAAATTCATTGTTCTACATTATTATTAGCCTGGCGTAAAAAACAAAAAAAAATTTGATAATAAAACAAATAAATATTTTTTAATCCCTTATTCATGAATAACAAAGAAAATACAAAAAAAAAAGATAAAATTCATAATCAAGCACGTAAATAAAATATTTTTTTCTTCTGAAAGTCTGGAATTTTATTATATTATGTGTATATTTGAAATTACAGTACAGGACAAAAATTTTCATACAAATTCAATTGTTGAAAAACTTCAAAAAATTTATTTCAGAAAAATTTCTTACCAGAGGGATTCGGATAAGTAAGAGGGATTAAAAGTAACGTAATTTTTTAATACGGTTAATATTCTTCTATCTTCATATAGGAGCCTTCACGATACATAAATTTTGGACCCCCTGAGAAAAAATAGCCTAGTTAATAAAATTAATTTTTAGATTATTATTAAATCATTATTATTAATATCTAAATTTTTAATTATCTTAATATTTAACAGCTGCTAAGTCTTTCCTAGTGTCCAGGCATTTTTCTGGGAAATTAAATAAACATTAATCGTTCTAACTACATCGTTCTAACTATACAATAAAATTTTATCAAATTAATTACATTTCCTATAATATTTTATAACTGTCTCTATTAAAGCGTTTCTTTATCAAAATTCTCAAACTCAATAAAACTATTTTCGGATAATTTTTCTAGAAACTTTTTGCTGATTGCCATTTTTACCGTTATAAGATTATACTTAGAAATACTTCGTAAAAACAAAACTACGCCGTAAGAACAACAGTAATTCATGAAAAAAAAACAAAAATCTACGTGCCCTGTCCAAGGAAGTCAAAATTAAAAATTTGTAAATCTAGGGTATCCGTCCGTTAAAAGTTAATTACACAAATACAGTTTTGTAAAAATTCAATTGAATTGTGAATTATATAATTCTAGAGTTAAATTTAATGACTGACGGTAATTATTTGATTGAGGATAAATTCAATGGTCTTTGCCACTACTTTTTATTAAAAAAACCCTTTCACTTTACTCAAATATACTATGTTTATGGTATGTACCTAGAAGTAAAAAATTTCCTCTTTTACAATAAACCTAGGATATTTATTTTTTCTTAAATTCCATTTTAAGGATTCTAAAACTATATTTGTATTTGTTTTTTCAAATTTGTCTCGTAAAATAAATTTCAAAAGAAAAAAATTCCTTTATTATCTTTATCTAGATAGTCTTCTAGTCTTTTATTGCAAAATATAAAATTGAAAGAAGGTCACAAATGATTAACTTGAATTATTCATAAATTATAAAAAAAAAAAAAAAACAAAACTAAAAAATAAATTTTTATTGTTTTTTATAAATTGTGCTTCAAAAATTGTCTTTTAATTTTGTTTTTATAATTTTTTGCTTTTTGTCATTCTTACCATAAGAAAATCCATTATTATCTTAATTATATTTCTTCCATTGTATTTCCTTTAAAGCACCTGTAATAATTTTTTCCAATTAAATGCATGGGTAAAAGAATTTTCAAAACAAAAAATAAAAAAAAAAATTTAAAGTAAATTCAAAGCAAATGTTTATAATTAATTTTTGTTTTTTTTTTATATAAGACAAAAAAAGAAAACATGAAAAAGAAATATAAAATTTTTTAACCCATTTAATCAAAATCAAACACAAAACAAAATGAAAAAGGGAAAAGAAAATGAATAAATTTTGTATATAGAAGAAATTGCAAGGAAAATTCTTCAATTTCTTCTCTTTGCTCTCGATTCTCTTTGTATTTCTTTTTATTTTAATACTAAGGACTTTAGACACAGGACAAGTACATAGATATTATATATTTAATATTCATTTTGGAATTTCAATTAAATTTTACCTTTTAGGTATACACAGGGACGGACGGTCCATATATGCAAAGTATGCATTTGCAGTGGGCGACAGAAAAGGAGGGGCGCCATTAAAAACTTTAAAAAGCCATAAATTTAAAAAAAAAAATTTAATACAAATTTGGTTCAATTTACAGCGAAATTAACTTCATAAAATGTACCTACATACAAACATAATATTTTATTCCTAATAATATAAAAAATGTACATGAAAAAAAAACGGTCAGTTACGCAAAACACTAAGTATTGATCTTCATATATTTTCCTTTCGCACCGTACAATGAAATGTTCATAGAATGAAAATTATTCACATATTTTCTTACTCTACACTACTCTTTTATTTTTATTTATTGTACGAATACACAAAATATTTTTTTCATCATATGAATCATCACAATTGCAATTATTAATTTTTCCTTTTACATACATACTAGAATAAATTCGTATAATATGCCTATATACAGAAAATATTATTTCATACAGCTGTACACATTCAATCCTACATATACATAAGCGAAATCCTCTCATATAATATACATAACATAGAAGCAAGATACGCATAAAACAAAAATATTCAAAAATACATATATATGCACACATAATATTTATATTGTTTAATATGAATAAGATCAACACTCATGCGTACACATAAAATTATCTCATAAAGCAACATTTTTATTTTGCTGAGATTGCTCCCTATCAACACTCGCTCGTACACATATAATTATATCACAAAGCAAGGTTTTTATTATGCTTAGTGGCTACACTCGTTCGTACACATTATATTTAAATTGTTTCATACATGCAAAATTTTATTTTTGCTTAGTTGGCGCCCACTCACCAAACAAACAAACACATTATTATAATGTATTACTTTTCTGTATACTATTGCATTAGTAAACAACAAGAACAAAAAAGAAAAAAAAACAAAAATTAAGAATGAGAATAGAAAGAAATTAGAAAAAGAGAATGAGAGCAATATTCTTAAATAATGTAAAGCATAGCTTGATATTGAGATTGTTTATACCAATATTTTCTCTTTGTTTAACAACAAAAATTTTGAATAAATTTCAAAATTACATTATCGTTAACGATCATCGTTATGAATTTCTACTACTTACTATGTTTTGCTTTCGTTTTTGAAAAAACTGTTATCAATCACAGAATTAAATATTAATTGGTAATGTCTACTACTTATATTGAATTGAAAAAATGTTGTTTAATAAAAAGCTTATTTTTTAAGTCACAAATTTTAGAACGAAACTTTGATTTTCCTTAAATTTTTGAATGCAAGTCGAAACTTTTTTTATACGCTGCTTCATTTCTCAGGCGATTTGTTCAGGCAAGCCAAATTTTATTCGTAAATTTAAAATTACGAATAAAAATAAAAATAAATTTTTACTTTTTTTCATATTCAAATAAGCTTTGAAAAAGTTCATTTGATATAATTTTCATAGAACTTTTTACAATAAGTTTCACTAACGTCAAAAAATAAATTTTTTGGTTGTTAAAATCAAAAAATCAAGTTTAAATGATTGACATAAATCTGATCATACCATCATAAAAAAACATACAGTTAAATAAATTACCTTGTTTTTGAATTT